AGGTAGTTTAGCGTGATATCAGTTTATCACGCTGATTTAAGTTTAAGTGTTCGGTTTATTTTGAAACTTAGTCTTAGTTAGTTATTTGATGGTATTAAAATGGGAATGTGAAGCCATGATTGACAGCTGTGATAGACTAACCTGGCCCTAACCAGATGAATTTCGCTCCGCCTAGCTCCACTCATCCATCTGGAACCAATCCATTGAAATGGCGTTTCAGAAGGCTGGGTCTTATCAAAAATCCTTGCATATGATTGGATTAGCCACTTGTCTGTCATCTTTATCGACGTGCTATTTCAACCACTCACACCGAAGCCAACCCGTGACGCTAATGAGAGCGATGCAACTGAAATATTAGGAAATATTAAATGAAACAATATTAGGTAGATTGGACAACACGGATGAAATAGCAGCATCAATGTTAACGCTTGCTTCCTCGATGCGAGCCGCCATTGTTGTCTAAATAAAAACAGTCTCACGGTCGCTTCTCCACTACGTCACATCTATGAAACTCCCGCCCTGCGTCCTGATTGGCTAAGCCATAAAGTTGGTTGGAGAAATCACTCTCAATGGAAGAGGTTCCAGATGGATGTGAGTGAAGCTAGGCGGAGCTAAGCGGAACGACATTCATCTGGCTAGGGCCAGGTTAGTGATTGACAGCTTCTTTAAACAAAGTATAGCCTAGAAATCTACACGCACCCTAGCGGCAGCAAAAATTATTATGCAGCAAAGTGTAGCAACTCTTCATAGACATTTTAGCTGGAAAACCCCAAATCTGGTAGGGCCAATCACATAGTGTATAGAGTCGGCGGGCGGGTTTAACATAATGACGACAGAGTGGAGACGGTCAGAGCAAGCTCGGACATATCAGAGAATGTCTAATTGAAGATAACAGCAGAAAGGCAGATGGGAAATAATTAGCATAGCTGATGTTCATAATGATTTCCATTATACGTGAGTCGGTGTTAGAAAACCACTATCTCACAAACTCTCCGCAACCCAAACTCTCCGCAACCCAACCATACGCGCCGACCCGTTTGTCTAGAAGGCTGTCGAGGCCCACTGGTGCGTTAAGCAGTTTCAGTGGCAAACGGTTCCGTATGGCATAACAGAGGACTAAAAGGTAAGCATTATGTGAATGCTTGACTAAAGAGATGTGTCTTTAATCTAGTTTTAAATTGTATCAGCGAGTCAGAGCCTCGGACCATATCTGGAAGGCTATTCCAGAGTTTTGGAGCTAAATGCGAGAACGCCCTCCCTCCTTTACTGGACTTTGATATCCTAGGAATGACCAGAAGCCTTGAATTTAGTGATCTTAAGGAACACGCTGGATTGTAGGGCGAGAGAAGGTCCGTTAAGTACATAGGAGCTAAACCATTTAGGGCTTTATAGGTTAGTAGTAGTATTTTGTAGTTGATACGGAACTTAATAGGTAACCAGTGTAGAGATGATAAAAACGGTGTTATATGATCATATTTTCTTGACCTAGTAAGAACTCTATAGCAGCTGCATTTTGTACTAACTGTAGCTTGTTTATTGAGGATGCAGGACAACCGGCTAATAAAGCATTACAGTAATCTAGTCTCGAGGTCATGAATGCGTGAACTAATTTTTCTGCATCAGAAATAGATAGCATGTTACGTAGCTTAGCAATGGTGGAAAAAGGCTGTTCTTGTAACATATGAAATATGATTTTCGAAAGACAAGTTGCGGTCTAGTATAACACCCAGGTCTTTTACTGTAGTGGATAAAGTAACAGGACATCCGTCTATATTAAAGTTGTATTGTAAGAGGTTTTGTGAGTAGTTTTTTGGACCAATAAGTAATACCTCCGTTTTATCTGAATTTAATAGCAGGAAATTACGCGTCATCCAGCATTTTATATCTTTGAGACGCTCTGTCATTTTAGATGAGTTAGTGTTTTCATCTGGTCATGATGAAATATATAATTGAGTGTCGTCAGCGTAACAGTGGAAATTAATTCCATGTTTTCTTATAATATTACCAAGTGGCAGCATATATATTGAGAATACCAGAGAGCCTAAAACCGATCCTTGCGGTACTCCATAGTCTACTGACGTTATCTTTGATTTTTTCCCATTTAAACAGACAAAATGATAAAGGTTCGATAAGTACGATCTAAACCAGCTTAAAGGTGAAATACCTAAGATTTTTGCATTCAAATATCCCAAAATCACAAGGCTAGTGTTATATATTTAGTTATGATGATAACTCTCAATATTCCAAATGTTTCAAACAATGTTTAAATCGCGAGAAAATTGAGATTTTAACCAAGGAAACGGGGCGTATGAGCAGGGGTGAGCTGGGAGTCGCCAGTCAATCGCGTCATATCCGCTTACCTCGGTTTCCGCTCGTATAGTTGTGCGTTAGCGTCTATCAAGCAACAAACGTCAGCTTGTTTAGCGCATTTGTTATGGAATGGAGCACAATTATTCTTTTCATTTATTCTCGGAATGTGAACTGTTGGCTGTAAAGGGGGTCACACACCGGACGAGAAGCGTCGCGCCATGTTTAGGACAACTCCACAGTAACGTTATCGAACACCGGACGCGCACTTTCTCATCAGTGTATGGCCAGCAATATTGTTATGTTTAATGACAGGAAATGAAGATAATGTCTGTTCTATGTTATGATTGTATTGTACAATTAAATACAATCGTTGCTGAGTTTGCATTCTGAAAACTTTACCTCAGAGCATCCGTTCACTGAATGAATTGAGAATCTCATCTGAAAAATCGAATAATAACATCAGCAATTGTCATTCAAGCAGCTGATTTCTGTAAATGACTGCAAAACTAAATGCATATTGCAGCATAGGGCGAAGTCAGGATCCATTAGCAACGATTTGAGACAAAATAATTAAAATTTTATATAAAACTATGTAAATGGCGCTCTGTGGCGCAGCAGGATTTTGAACACGGTCCTGAGGCGTTGTTGCTGGGCGCCGCGGACAGACGCCGAATGGCGCTGCCGGTATGTGTAACGTTACACTTATAGATAATAATGTTTTCGAATTTTAAAGATGTGGCGCGACGCGGCGCTGCAGCTTCTCGTCCGGTGTGCGACCCCCTTAACGTTAATTTTGTGAAACTGTAGCTGTGGTTGAATACTTACACGACATGACAAGATGTGTCAAATGTACATTAAACTGATTTTTTATTTTTATAAAGTTACCAAGGAGGACCAGCCACGTCAACTCCTTGCAAGAGACCTGCCCCTTCAAACCCTCTCCACCATAGCTTCGTCCAGTGACTCGTACAGTAACTAATTTACTTTTAAACCTGACTTTTCTTGCGGTTATTTCAGTTTAATGAAAAACAAGCATGTCATTAAACGCAACGTTTATAGAAATCGAACTTTACCTCATCCATGACAACTAATTTTCTATTCCCGTCTGACTGATTTATCCACGGTGGAGTTGAAAACAACAGTTCCTCCACGTCGTCATCAAGCAAAGCCGTTGTTGTTGTTTTGAATGTAGCGCCCTCTAGCGGCATCTAAATCTTAGGTATTGCAGCTTTAATGCCTGTCCCTGAATACCAGTGTAGTTTTGTAGTCGATCCAAGAGTATTTTATGATCTATAGTGTCGAACGCAGCGCTAAGATCAAGTAGGACTAGTATTGAGATACAGCCTTGGTCAGAAGCTAAAAGTAAATCATTTGTAATTTTAACTAGCTTTTAACTGTAACTGTAGCTTTTAACTGTAACTGTAACTTTTAACTAATTTTAATAAAGGCTTTACTCCGTGTCGGACCTCGCACGGACCTCTCCCGAATCATCTCCAGCAAGCAATACTACTCCGCCTCCGTTTCCCTCGTAAGCTGATATTAGTATTTAAACATTCTCTATGATATTATTTGTTTAATGACACACTGTCTCTTTCTCTCTCATACACACACACACTGTCTCTTTCTCTCTCACACATATGTAGGTTATAAACTCTTTAGACTTTTAATGATTAATGTTTTATTTTTAAAGTTTGTGGGTCGTGTAAAAAACAAAAAAATCCCTTATTTTGGGGATGGATTCCGGGAAATCTCCCTTATTTTCAATGTTCAATGTTGACAGCTGGACTGGATACGGTAAAAGTTTAATATATCAACTTGCTCCGCTGAGTACGTCACCTTCTTCGTTGCTCTGATTGGGTTTAGCGCTATCCAATTGCGTGCAGAGGGAATTAGAAAGACAACCGTTTATCCCGCCCCTCGGATTGAGCCCTGTCAATGATGAGTTTCCAGACCTAACATCTTGATGTAGGTCTGGCATGCCAGGCTAAACAAAGTAGTCACTGAGGCACCAACGGACTGTAATTAAACTAAACTATACCTGTTCTATCCTTCCTGATCTCATAGCAATTTGAAAATTTTTTACGCGTTGTCCAATTCGTATGCATTTATACGAATGACCTACCCCTTTAATCTGCCCCTAAACCTACCCATCTCTGGCGTTAAGACAAATCGTATGAATTTGTACGAATTAGCCACCTCATACAAATTCTTACAAATGATTGTGAGATTGTGAGATTGTGATTGTAGCGTTGTATCTCCATGCAGCATATTCTCTGGCTCTTGTAGGCATCATTGTCCGACTCCGGTTCAAACATATAAGGCTGAACACCGCTACTGACAGTTTCTGACAGTTTCAGTGCGTCATATTGTCATGTTTTGTTGTTTTATAAGTTCTTGAAGCTCTGCCCTCTTCTTGAAAGGGGCCAGGAGCAGCAACTCATTTCCATTTAAAAAAAATGTCACTGTGGAGAAAAATACGTCTAATTAGTCCTTAAAATTCTTAAATTTCTTAATTCGGGGAAATTATAACCTGGACATGTTTGCAAGAGATAGATTCACACACATGTGTTAAACCCAAAACTTTTTTCCCCAGGTATAGTCATGTCCTATGTGGCCCCTATACTCCAGTCTTTTTTATAGAGGTGTGGATTCCGTATGTGATTTAGTAATGTTCTTCCTGATGGATGCAGGCAGGCTCGTTTGTGTGATTGATGGCCCTTCCAGCCTGTCTGAGATTCTGGGGCCGCAGTGGATAGATGAGGCCCATGATGAATAGCTGATCATGACCATCATGGACATTCAATACTCTTCTGAGCTCTGGTCTTGAAAGCTGTGGGACTTTGCTGCATGCCAGGTCATCCACGTGGCCCTCTTCACTCCTCACCTCTCAGGCCTGCCTCTAAACATTTACTGTACCCGGTTGTACAGATCACCGCTTCATCAGAAAACACCTGTTATGGCTACAGCTGGCCTTCTAAACGCCAGGTGTCCATAGTGAAACTGATTAATAAGGTCGCAGAAACAAATGTGCAGAGCTTTGTAAACACAGCCATTCACAAATACATGCACTATCACCGGATAAGAAGTCAAGAACTTGTTTTAAATTCTTAATTGTTTTTTTTTTCTGTTAACATGTTGTTGTTTTTTAACAAAATTTTGCAATGTGTTGGGGTGGATTCTGATAAAAATGTGGGTTTGGGACGGGGCTGTGTGTTTATTTGTTCCAGAGCCGCAGCTGAAAGGCATTGTGACACGACTGTTCAGCCAGCAGGGTTTTTACCTGCAGATGCAGCCAGACGGAACCATCGATGGCACCAAGGATGAGAACAGCGACAACAGTGAGTGATTGGAACTGCACTAAATGTGCAGCGCATACACACTAATGTACCACACTAATTGCATTTAGACCGTTGTTGTACATTTTTCTTCAACATCCCTCAGGGTTGGCTTATTTATGAAGTTCTGTTTCTGAAAAGTGTGTTGTGTGTGTGTGTGTGTGTGTGATGAAATAGGCTTTTCAGCAAAATGTCAACGGTAAAACAATCTTTAAACACAACAATTCAAAAAGGTAACAAAAATATCAAACTATTGATTGATTCGGCACTAACTGTAATTAATTAACTGTAGAAAAAGGTTTAAACATAAAAAACATGTGACAACTAACCTGACCTGAATTTTTTTGGGGAAAAAGAAACCTTAAAAATCTTCATTATATAGCTGACTTTAGACTGAATGTGTCCTTCACAGCTATAACTAATATGAATAATTATACCAGACATCTGTTCTGGCAAGCATTTGTATAATTTGACTTTTCTCGTATTGAAAATCTTATTGTTTGTCCTACAACTGTTGTCTTTTTCATATGACAAATGTTAGATTTTGATTATTTCTACAAATACATATTTCTTAGATTATTTAAATGCACACCATCAGTGAGAATTAAATGACATAATTGTTAAGGGGATATTTGCTACTGGTAATATATTATTGCTCTAATCATGAAAGAGCATTGTTATTTTAATGTTTCAATTCAAATGAATTTGAATCGTTTTGAATGCAAATTATTATTCAATGGCAAGTGCTGATGAGTTGAGTGAGATCAGAACTGTTACAACGTACCGGGAGGGCAATCCCACTTAACCAGGTTTGCAGCACTTCTCTATTGCCGGCACTCTTTCTATGAGTCATCCTTTTCTGCAGGGCTGTCTAACAAAGGGAATATACTCGTGGCCCATAATGAGAGTGGTTAAACGTGTGAATTGTATGCATTTCTACAGTTTGTGTTGTTTGTGAAAGACCCGACTGCCTAGGATATCCATGGAGTCGTGCTAAAGTATTTACATTGCTTATTTATTAAAGAAAGAAAAAACTTTTGCATGAACATTAGTTTCACTATGGGTATTAAACTTTTACTCCAATGCCCTTTCTGAACTGACAAACAGTGCCCTCTGAGGGAACAGCTTCTGTTCTCAAATGAACTCTCCAGGGCCATGTAGGTCACTCCTGTCCCCTTAACATCATCTGTGTCCAGAACAGACGTTTGGTGTAAAACAGAGAACTTCTTAAAATCCTCTAAAAACTAGCAAAAGTGGATTCACTTGCGCCTGGTGCTTTATAGGCCATGCGCTTAGATCCTTGAGTCTCTTTCGCTAATACAGTAATTGTATTAAGTTCTCACACAAAACCACAGTTGGATTCACAGCAGAATTCATACCCTTGTTGTAATGTTGATAAAAATCAGCTCATTCCAAAGGAGCAGGATGCATATAATGAGCAATTACCATAACACACGCCCACATTTCCATATAAGGGCTTTCTGCATAACTTCTCCTGTCCCGCCATCCATCAGTTTGTGGTTAGATTAATTGCAATTTACCATGAAATTCAGATTGAATTCTTCAAATGCCTATAGGTTATAAATTTTGATTGAAATAATAATAATAATAATAATAAAAATAAACAGGTCACCAGGAGTTTGTGATTTTTGCATTTGTGTGGTTATCCTTTTTAAAGAATTTTATGATTAAAAAAAAGTGTGAACCCATAATGAATTGTGAGATCTGCATGAAATATTCATGCGCTGCCTTTACACACAGTTCGTGGATAAGAGGACCTTACTGTTATTTCATATCTATTCATATCCACCATCTACCCTTTTGGAGTGCTATAGGGAAATGGGAGTGCATGTCTTTTTTTATGTCTCTGAGAAAGTGGAGACTTTCAGAGAATTCAAGCGTCCTGTTTGCAGATTGAAAATAAGGTGAGATGGAAGAAAGCTGAAGGGAGCTACTGGAATATCCTCGAGCTGTTCTTTAACTCAGCTGAACGGAGATGTCCTTTCCACCTCTAATCCTTGCATTTATCTGTCAGTCTGTTCCACAGGCAGAGATCAGTAAACTGCAGTTAATAATTTAGCGAGCAAAATCTAAAGTTTTTTCCTCTCCATTTTTAACTATGGGCAGGCTTGATAGAGAAGGCGAGCAGAGGATAGTGGCTTGTAGTGCAAAGGTTTTTTAATAAATGTTTTTTAACAAAGGTCTTTTAAGTCCAAAGAAACAAAACCACAAAATAAATATAATAACCAGAAACCAGGAACTCAGAGGGAAAAAGAAGCAAAGGACAAATTGAAAACAGGGGTTCCATTTCGTAGTCACTCTGAGTTACGTCAGATGACGTTGAATAGGGGTTTCGCCTATAAAGCCAATCATCTTCGAGTTTTATAAAACGAGCCAGTGGCGATGAAATGCCATGGGTCTGCAGAATTTGCATAGCATATCTCCGCCCCACCGCTGGTATTTAAGCAAAATGCGGACGCAAAGGCAGCTATATGTTCTCGCGGCTAGTTGACACAGTGGCTTGAGGGTGATGGTGTGGAACAATTCAGTGTTGCAACCCGCGAGTGATGCGGTGACTCAGGCAGGTCCATCTACGGATGCCCCGCGTATTTCATTTGGCGCTCCAGAGGATGACTAGATGTCGATTGCGGCATCACAAGGCGGGCAGGAGTCCTCGGAAAGTGATGATGCGGCTGTGTTGCCTCCCTCAGGAGTGCCGGTGTTGCCCATGTCAGATCCGGAAATGAAGGCCATGCTTTCCAGGCCACCGTGAGCATCAGGCTAGAGTGTAACCCTCCGCCCTGCCCCGATCGCTCAAGGCTGGCCACTGCAGATTCACGGCCACAGTCAACCCCAATTCCATTCTTCCCGGAAATGCATGAGGAGCTGTCGAAATCATGGAAGGCTCCATTGACCTCCCGTGAACACTCGACAGCTTTCTCCGCCTTTCCTCTCCTCAATGGGGAGGTCGCCCATGGGTACACTGGGATTCCCCCAGTTGAATGCTCTGTTGCGATGCAACTGTGTCCTCAGAGCGCTGCTTCTTGCGGTAATCCTAAGCACCCGTCCAAGGCCTGTAGATTCTCATCTACCCTGGTGGCAAGATCTCACAGATGTTGTAGGACAGGCGGTCGCCGCTCTGCATGCGATGAGCACCTTACAGGTCTACTAGGCCCAGCTGCTCAGAGATATGTATGAGGGCAGGACTGACCCCAGGCTCTTTGATGAGCTGCGTGCCGCCACTGACCTCGCTCTCCGAGAGACAAAAGTGGCCTCACGCTCCATGGGTCAGGTGATGGCCACCTCCATGGTCCAGGAGCATCACTTATGGCTTAACCTGGGGGAGAATCTTTTGTTCTCCACTCCCCGCTGCTCACCCACAGGTGGGCAGTACCCTAATGTGGTTAAAGAAATAACTGACTCCTGAGTACACACTGAGCACACAGGGCACGGATGACAGTACGTGCCGTCTCCGGACCACACAACTCTCGTCCCTCTCTATCGCCAGACCCCTGGCAGAGCAGACCCCGTGGAACGCTGGTTCTTCCCTGGTCTCCTCTGTCAGGACGTGGAGCATGACCGTGCCCACTCACAGGGCCGCTATGCCACCCTTGCCTGGGCTGGTCACTCCGCTTGGGAGGCTTGGTTAGAGCTCCCCAACCTGTCCGGCTGGGTCGCCCGAACTATCAGGCTCCAACCTGCCATTAGATCTTCATCCCGTGGCGGAACCTCAGTTTTCTACCGGCCGGAGTTCCCCTTGAACGGCCAGGCATGTTGTTGTCTCCACAGATGCCTCTGCCATGGGCTGGGGCACCATGTGCAATGGAGATGCTGCCGAGGGCTCCTGGACAGGACCCCAGCGCTGCCTGCATGTCAATTGCCTCGAGTTGCTGGCAGTACGCATTGCCCTACACCGTTTCCATACGTTGCTCAAGGGTCAACACATACTAGTCTGTTCAGACAATACCGTGACAGTAGAGTACATCAACCGACACGGTGGTCTACGCTCCCGCCATATGTTGCAACTCGCACGCCACCTCCTCTTATGGAGTCAGAAGCACCTGAAGTCCCTTTGTGCTATTTACATTCCAGGAGATTGGAACTTTGCAGCCGACGAGCTGTCTTGGTTCCGGCCCATCTCCGGCGAATGGCGACTCCATCCCCAGATGGTCCAGCTGATTTGGGACCAGTTCAGGGACACACAGGTAGATCTGTTTGCCTCCCACAACTCATCCCATTGTGCCCTGTACTACTCCCTGACCGAGGGCATGCTCGGCGCGGATGCACTGGCGCACAGCTGGCCGCGAGGCCTACGCAAGTATGCATTTCCCCCAGTGAGCCTTCTCGCACGGACTCTGTGCAAGATCAAAGAGGACGAGGCAATTCCTCTGAGGAAGGAACTCCTTTCTCAGAGACGGGGCACCCTATGGCACCCTCGTCCCAATCTTTGGAGGCTCCATGTGTGGCTTCTGAACGGGACGAGGCAGGTTTGAGTACCCTGCCAACTGCGGTGGTGGCTACCATCACTTCCGCTAGAGCGTCGTCCACGAGACACGTCTATGCGTTGAGTGGAACCTCTTCGTCAACTGGTGCTCTTCTTGCCGAGAAGAACCCAGGAGATGCTCGTTCAGTGTCGTGCTTTCCTTCCTGCAAGACGGGTTGGAGTGAAGGCTGTCTCCCTCCACCCTGAAGGTGTATGTGGCCGCTATCGCCGCATATCACGAAGCAGTTTAAGGTAAGTCTCTGGGGAAGCACAACCTGATCGTCAGGTTCCTGAGAGGAGCGAGGAGACTGAATCCTCCTCGCCCTCCTCTCGTTCCCTCTTGAGACCTCTCAGTGGTTTTAAATGCCCTGCAGATGCCTCCCTTTGAGCCTCTGCAATCAGTTGAGCTTAAGTTCCTGTCAATGAAGACAGCGCTCCTGGTTGCACTGGCCTCAATCAAGAGGGTAGGGGACCTGCGCACATTCTCCATTGACGAAGCCTG